GTTAGGTCAATGCCAGGCATGTCCTCATGCGTCCATCCAAAGACATCATGGTTTCTTCTAAGGAGCTGAATAAGTTCCCTAATAGGTAGGTTAAGGAGCGATCCTACATTCACTTTTTTCTCGGCCTTTAGTTCATGTAACGACCCACTCCACCACATGGTATGATATTGTCTGCTTTGGGCTTGAGCCCGCATGGTTTTGCTCTTGGGATTTACCCCAAAAGGCCTCATACCAATTGGAATGACACATCTACATATAAGCACTTCACCTTTCCCTTACCCAAGCGACGTGGGACTATGCACCCGTAACTCGCCAGTATGGTAGCCTGCTAGTGTCTCACACCCACCCATGACACACCTGCCCAGAGGGTCATCATAATCCACCCCCTTTAGAGGCCCGACGTCCCCGTCGGCACACTTTCGGCTGGGCTGGCTCTGATACCATTTGTAACGACCCACTCCACCACATGGTATGATATTCTCCACTTTGGGCCTGAGCCCACACGGTTTTGCTCTTGGGCTTTACTCCAAAAGGCCTCATACCAATTGGAGTGACACACTTACATATAAGCACTTCACATTTCCCTTACCCAGGCGATGTGGGACTGTGCACCCGTAGCTAGCCAGTGTGGTAGTCTGCCAGTGTCTCACACCCACCCATAGGGTCATCATGGATCAACCTCCATAAGATCCTCTACTGGCTCTGCACGCTGGGTGGACTCCTTTTTTTGCCACTTCTTCCAGACATTCTATGGTTAATTCCTCAGGTATCTTTTTGTTTTCAGGGCAGAAATTTAACATTCCCTTGCTATCATTTAATAGCCCCTTAATTCTCTAACGCCGTGTTCCATAGGAAAACGCATGAGCAAATTGTAAGTGGAAGTAATAGCTTTTATGGCATTCAAGGCTGTTCTCCCCAGGATAATGTTATACGTGGATGGGCAATCTACCACCAAAAAATCTATCATCGCAGTAGCTTGTCTCGAACTGGACCCTGCTGTTAATGGGAGCATGACTGCCCTTAAGGGAAAAACCTTCTCACCAAAAAAGCCGACAAGTGGTGACTTCATTGGCCTCAATTTTTCCATTCCAATATTCATCTTATCAAAAACATCAAAAAATAGCAGGTCAGCAGAACTACCATTGTCAATTAGCACACAATGGATTATGTAATTGGCTACCACCACCATCACAACCAGGGGATCGTCATGGGGCTATTGGATTCCCCTGACATCTTTCTCATAAGTGGTGATAACTTGTTTTTCTATCAGAGGGAATTTGGTCAGAGGTTCATGAATCCCAGCCTTATTTTCTGCTACAGAGCCCTAGCTTTTCTAACATAGGCTCTCCGGGCCGAGCTCGGCTTTCCTCCACCAGCAAATCCGCTCAAGATGACCCTTATTTCCCCCAATGGTCTACCAGGAGGGTGGTCATCTCTGTTGTCTCAAGCTAGTTGAGTTATGTCCTTCTTACAATCGGCCATGTATTTGTTTAAATGCCCTCGACGAATCAGACTTTCAATCTGATTTTTCAGGTCAAAGCACTCGTCCATGGTATGCCCATGGTTTATGTGGAACCTGCAATACTTGTCCTTCAGCCTCCTTGCTGGACCTGACTTTAAATTTAAGGGCTATCTTATGCTGAGATTGTCTTAAATTTGCAAAAGGATTTAACTGATAGGAGTATTCAACGGAGTAAAGTTGGTTTAGTTATCTTAACCACGATTGTTTAGGTAGTTTACCGAGAGTTTTCTTAAACTTTGTCTCTCTTTCATCTTTTGAAGTGGTGGTCGGCCTCTTCTTATCTACCTTTTTGTCATCGTTTCCTTTGCCCTTACGAGCATTTAAAGCGTCCTCCACATTCATATACTTGTGTGCCTTAACTAGCAATTCGGCTATACTACGCGACGGATCTTTCAACAAGGAAAACAATAATTTAGAGGATTATAGTCCTCTTATAAAGGCTGTAAGGGCTACTTTGTAGTCTACTTTATCAACCTGCAATATCTTTGTATTGAATCGACTGATGAAATCTCGCAATGATTCCCCTTCGCCCTGTTTGATATTGAGCAAATAGGTAGGTAATTTCCTATGCCTCCATCCTGCGATAAAGTGCCCAGTGAATAGCTTGTTGAGCTCATCAAAATCATGGACAGACCTTGGCTTCAACTTGTTGAACCAAACTCGGGCTGACCCTTTGAGTGTAGTGGGAAACGCCCCGCATATGATTTCGTCTGGTACTGCCTGGAGATTCATGAGTGACTTGAAAGTCTCAAAATGATCCAAAGGATCTGGGGTCTATCAAAACTCTCGAGGTGCGGCATTTTTAGGCAATGGTAAGACTATAATCTGAGAGTTGAAAGGTAAGTTAGTCTTGTGCACGATATCAACGACTATAACGGGACTTTTTGCTTTTAGGGCTTAGGCCACGCCTTCTACTTTTAGCTTTAAGTCTTGATGTTAGTCCACATAGGTGGCCTCGGTGCACTCCCCAACATAAGACACATCCTCTTAATGTCGGGAACGGTGTGTAGGAGTGTGCGACTTACTCTATCGATCTCCTGCTCGGCTATGTTCTGGTCGATCACTTATCATTACCTTCAACACGTGCATCAGGGATAGCCAGGTGTTGCATAATTGCCGCATTTTGTTGGACCAATTGATTCACAGCCTGATTAAGGTTATAGACCTATTGTTCCAACACTGCGACATGTTCCCCATCGTGTGTAACTCGCCTAGGCGTGTTCTCGTGATGGGATGTGTGCACTGACCGTTCTCCCCTGGCATGGGACTGGGTAGTGAATGATCGGTCTCCCCCTACGATGGGATTAGTTATGGTGACCGCTATATTGGAGTTACTAGTGACCACCGTCTTGGAGTGACGGGTGACCGTCGTCGTGTGACTGGTGATCAGTGTCTGACTGATTGTGTTATGGGTGATGACCTCCCAATTGAGTTCCATATCGCAATTAAAGAACCATTGTCGAGGTTCCCATAGATGGCTCCAACTAATGATGCAATTTCCAACTACAATCGGGAACAGTGTCGTATCTGCAAGAAAATGAAGAATAGCGACACTAGTGTGGTACTGGCCGAAGAGTCTCCAACAATCAAGTAGTACTAGATCACAAAATAGAAGAAGAAGAGACTAAGGAATGCTCTAATATTTTTTTGTCGTACCTTTTGACTTCTCAAGCCTTTTATTTCTAGAGGACACATTGGTAGTCATGTTGGAATCAATGACTAACTCCCATTTACTTCTTCAACCTGTAGAAGGAGATCATTAATTATCCTTATCGACTAATTTCCATTATCTATCCAAACCTCTTCGGCTGCCATGTAATATTCACTTCTATCTTAATTAATATTCCGTATCAAATAATAAAATTTTAATCAAATATATTTTCACTTAGGACATGAAAGGTTAAAAATAATAGAATAAACAATTAATGTAAATTTATAAATCTATAAAATTACTCATAATACTTTTAATATAAATTTAAAATTTATAAAACTATAAAATTAATCATAATAATTTTAATATAAATTTATAGGTCTATAACATGAGACAAAAGAAAAAAATAAAAAATAGCCTAATAATAATAATAGGGAAAATATCACTTACCTCCCTTGAGGTTAGGCCTAATTAGTACCCCTAACGTTTTAAATATTACAATAACCTCCCTTCAATGTAACTGAGGTCAGTTTTCGGTAGAAACCCATGTTAAATGACTAAAATATCCTCTTTTATTAAATTAATTTTATTAATTGAAAAAACCTTTAACAAAGTACCCATTCTACCCCTATTTGCAAAAAAAATGGTGAGGGGAAAAAAAAAAAAAAAAAAAAGTGAACCAGGGAACAAAATTTTCGTTTTTCCCAGACCTGATCCCATCCATATGAGCCTTAGATCGACCCGACACCTAAACAACACCATTGTTAAACCCATTAAAGTCTGCCTACTTATTTATCTGTGCTCTGAAACTTTAACACTTCCTCTATTTTCGTCACAGCGGACCACCTCTGCACAACCATAGCCACTATCGATACCATCATATCTCACATATACTCTTCCATCACCATAAAATAAACGCATATATAGTTTTAAACATATATGGTAAGTATATATATATGAAATCTCAACAAGGGAATCGATGTAGACGAGATCTGTATATGCAGAGATTATGGTGGTGCAAGTAACAACATTCCGATGAAGCATTCCAACAAACAACATATGTGCATCATTAAAGTTAGACAAACATAAGGTTCAATAACTGAACAAAAAAACCAAGCTTGTTGCAGTCCTCACCAACAAGTTACCGCCGCCACCGGTTCAACAACAGCGTCCTTGCTTATCGATGGTTGGTATCCCTGTTCAGATCATGTATTACTGTCGCCGTTTCAATTCGTTTCATCGCCGAATCAGAGCACAGCCGATGTCTTGTGTCACCGGGCTCACTCACTCTTTCTATAGCCATTGTGCTCACCGACCGCAGATCAGTCCTCCATCGTTGCCACTATTTCGTTCCTTGCTGCTTGCTCGTCGTCGAGACCTCAGGCGGGTAAGCATCGATAAGTCGTTCTGCCCTTTTTGTTCGCCGTTCAAACCTCACCGCTACCGCGTCATTGACATCCTTATTCCCCATCGACTGAGCACATCATTGCTCATCACCGATGGGTTATTACAAAAAAGATGTGATACGTTTTTAATACATAATTTTCAATTAAAAATGATGGTGTAAATGTCTTTGCAATCTTTGTAAGGGTAAATGTGATATTTCACCTTTAAAAAGGATGATATTAGCAAAAAACGATCTTTGACTGCAACCAGAAGGGGCAAAGGACTATGCCGGAGTTAACTTTGAGGTAATTACTGTAATATTTAAAACGTTAGGAATACTGTCTGTAATTAGGCCTAATCTCAAGGGAGATAAGTGATATTTTCCCATAATAATAATAATAATAATAAAAGATGCTCTGATCTCATCACGAGTGCTGTCTGTTAAACGTGTCAATCAGCACCTTGCGCAGTAAATTGTTGTCCTGTTGAATGCTTTTTTTTAGGGTTAGGGTTTTGCAAGAACCAAGTAAGATATAGCTCCATCCATCTATCTGGGGTTCTAATTTTCCTCTACAGAGAGAGGTGTATCAATGGGGAGGTACAGAAGCCGAAGCAGAAGCTATAGCCCTAGGCGTAGCAGAAGCCCACTGCGACGCAAGCAATACGATGATAGTCGGTCTAGCAGAGCCAGAAGATCACCTGCCCCTTCTGGTCTTCTTATTCGCAACATCTCTCTACACGCAAGGTATCATCTTTATACACTCTTGTTCTTCTATTGCGCTCTTTGATGTGTATTTGTTTCATTTTTCATCGTTTGGGGTATATATACATTTATTATATCGTTTCGTCTTCTTCAATCTCTTTGTTAGTTTTCGAACTGTTACTGAACAAAGCTGAAATTGTGTTGTTTGTTGCAAATTGTATTGAATTATTCCTGATAATACCCCCAAATTGTTGTGAATAGTAACATCATTATTATTTTTTATTTGTTTAATTTCTATAGAATAGAATAGTGTATATTTCTTGCTTAATGACATTTGTTGTTCCTCTGAATTCATTATAAGTTTTGTACGACTATTTTTCACTGTTTTTCTTAGTATATCACTTTCGAACTTATTTGAATTTGATGTCGAAAAAGGGCATTACCCAGTTGTGGTCCTGCCATGGCTGGATCGAGGACTTGAGACAGACCCCCTAGCATTTGGTATTTTCCAATGTGGCTGCTCTGAGGCTTTGATTTTGATGTAGTGTTAGTACATTGGTATTTTACCAAATGGCTGCTCCGAGGATTTGAATTTGATGTAGTGTTTGTACAGTCTTGGCACGTAACTTCTGTAATTCATATGTTCATAATGTCTATAAATTGAGTGGTTGGTAATATGACGTGAATGCCAAATAAATAATTTAAAATAAAATAAAAATTGTTATACTTTTTCAGTTTGAAACTATTACTTTTTTCTTCTAATGATCAGCCATGTCAAACTTTTATCCTAAGTTTTTTATTTTTATTTTTTTTTATTTATTTATTTCTGTAAATTAGTCTAGAAATGTTGAGGGGATGGGATTAAGCCCACAAGGGAGTCACCTACAGAGGTAACCCAACCTTTGTGATTGGAGATCCCATTTCATTGGATAGAAACAATCCGCATTGCATGACTCACTGACAGTACATTTATATTAGAAGATTTCTCATGAAGATGTGCTACTGCTCATTCTTATGGCGTGATACTGTTTAACGTGATGTTAGAAAGGGCTGAATGAGTCTGAAGAAGGCATAATCTTGCAAGGTACCGGTCACAAGTACCTTTGAAGGACTCACCTAAGTGAGAGTTTTTGTGAGGCCGCAATTGTGAGAATTGGGCTATTCTCTAGTAACTTTCATGAGCATCAAGATAAGCGCATGGCCATTAATAGTGCTAACCCACAAAACCAAGTCAATTATCAATACTATGTGTGATATGTTGAAGTTTGGTTAAAGGGTATGAGTTCAAGACACAATTCACTATAGACTTCCAAATGGAAACTATCTAAAACTAAGTGTAGGTTCAAATCCGAAAGGTACCTAAATTGATTACATGGCATAAAGTTGCCCCAATCCCTCTCTATATATGTATAATAATTTTAACACGTTTGGAAACCTTGTGGGGGATTGTTAACATGTTAACATATTTAAAATGTTTTCGAAACCTCTTTGAACGATTCTATTGGATTCCTGACTGTCTGCAATTTTATTGACATTATTTCCTAGTTTTTGTAATACTTAGTTTTTTTTTTTTTTAAATTTATTATTATTATTTTTTATTTTTTATCATTGGACTCTTAGTCTATAAATACTAGGATTCTAACAGTCCATAGGGCACAGAAAACTGAAAAGAAAGAGAATCTGAATATACTCTTTCTTCCTCCCAATTTATTTTCTGCAATTTCATGTACAATTAACCTCTCCCTATTATCTACTACTTTCACCATAGTTTAACAAAATTGGGCAACTGATAAAGACCGTATTGGATTTTCTGTGAATGTGCTCATAGAGGAGTCGTGACTTTGAGTGATTGGGGTTGTATCTTGGAGCTGCTATAGCCGTCACCATCTGCATGTAGGGAGGAAATACCAACTTTTGGACAACGCATTTGCATGGGCCGCACCTTTCCTTTCTTAATTTATGTTTCCTACTAAATTATCTAGGTGTTGTTAACTTGTTATTTTATTCAATAATTCTAACTTAAAAGTTATAAAAGTGAATATAGTTTTTGTCCAATTTTAATATAAGTACATCATTATTTTTAATTTGTTTAATTTCTACAGAATAGTGTGTATTTCTTACTTAATAATGGCAATTGTTGCTCCACTGAATTCATTTTAAGTTTTTTAAGAGTAATTTTCACTTTTTTTTTTTTGGTTCGACTCCTCTTGAGTGAAAACATTTCCTTGGAGGAAGGAGAGAAAAAGAGGAAAGGGGGGGGGGGGGGGGGGGGTTGTGGGTGGTGTGTGAGTACTAGGGGAAAAAAAATTCACTGTTTTTTTTTTCTAGTATATCACTTCATAACTTATTTGAATTTGATGTCAACAAAAGGCATTACCCAGTTATGGTCCTGCCATGGCAAGACCGAGGACTCGAGACAGACCTAACCTATGGTTATTCCCAAGTCGCTGCTTCGAGGCTTTGAATTTGATGTAGTGTCAATATAGTCTTGTCTTTGTGATATATGTTTTGTAGCCTTTGTAATTCAAATGTTCATAATGTCTATAAATTGAGTGGCAGCCTTTGTACTTCAAATGCTCATAATGTCTATAAATTGAGTGGCTGGTATTATGACGTGAATGCCAAAAATAATTTAAAAATAATAATAATTGTTATACTGTTTCAGTGTGAACTCTTTTTTTTTCCTCTAATTTTCAAACACTAGCCATGTTAAACTTTTATCTCGTAATTGTTCAAACTCTCTCTCTCTAATACACACACACACATCTTGCGCTCTCTATTAAGAAAAGTGACAGTATAATAGTTCTATTGGATGCTGTGCAGGCCAGAAGATCTTAGAACCCGGTTTGAACGATTTGGTCCACTAAAGGATGTGTATTTACCTAAGGATTACTACACCGGGTATGCCTATTTCTTCTGCTTCATGTCTATGTGTTGGTTTTTCTATTAATTATGTTTTTAGAGTTTTCAAACCCCATAACAACCAAAGTTTCGAATTCATTGCATTCATGCAAGGACTCAATCGAGAATTATTGATTTATAACGGTTTATGACTATTGAAATAGCTTAGACTCACAGTTCAATTGAAGTACTAATTGAAATGGAATTTGGACTACACACATGGAACCCTTTCCTTTCTAAACAGAGGGCTGTTAATTATAATTCTGATTTGAATTTTAATTATTAGGGAACCACGAGGATTTGGATTTGTGAAGTTCCGTTTTGCTGAAGATGCAGCTGAAGCAAAGAAACAAATGAACAATACGGTTCTTGGCGGCCGTGAGATAAGAATTGTTTTTGCCGAGGAGAACAGAAAAACTCCTCAAGAAATGCGTGGTGTTTCTCGAACAAGGTGTAATAGTGTTCTGATTTGCTGTCTTTTTACCATTTTGCATTTTTGTGAATCATTTTTATCCTTTAAGCAGTCAGTGACATTGTTTATGCTTTCTTTTTATGTACAGTAGTCGAGGAAGCTATAGGAGGCGAAGTCCACCGAGATCCCCAAGCCGCCGTCATCGCTGTTAGTTTTACTTATTAAACTTTTTCATTCATTTAACATTTCAAACGAGATTTTATTTGTGTTTTGCGATGCAGTTATTACTGATTGTGATCGTCCGGTAGCTAATAACTTTATATAATTATATAGTTCCATATTTTTCCCCTGCTAAATTATTATTTCATTCTGTATGGCAGCTTACTCACCCTCACCTTCTCCAATAAGAAGTGATTTAAGGTATGGATTTATATCTGGATAAAGAGATTCAATTGCCTTTTGTCATTTGTGTTTTGTGATTCTTATAATGTTGATTTAGATCCTGAATTTCTTCTTTTAAGTCCTTTTTGCTGTCATGTTGAAATTATTGTTCTTCATTATCTTAAACGCGCCCACCCACCCACACCCCCCCCCCCCCCCCCCCCCCCCCGGCGGCCGTGTATCCTATGTGTCTTTTATAACACTTTCCTGTCCAATTACATCATGGAATTGGAAAATAAACAATCATGTTTATGTGTTTTTGGAACCATACTTATATTTAGCATGTTATGAATTATGCGATTCTCTTAACTTTGAGTAATGTCATGTTTCTCCTATAAAACCATATTTTTGGGGCATTTCCTGTGATCATCAAGTCAAAAATTGTGTTAGACACAGAATTTTAATGCAGGAGTTTGTTCTATTTTGGAACCATCACTTCAGTACTTAATTGAATTGAATTCAATGAAAGTGAAAGCCATATTGTTTAGCTGAAATTATATTCCTGTTCTTCACTTCAACACAAGCCTTGTATATCCAGGCATGGAGGGTCTGGTGTAAAACAAAAGCTGGTTTGGCCATCGCCATATATTTTTATTAAGTTTGGCCGTCTCCATTTTTGTAAAATATAATAAATAAGGGTTCATTTCTAGAGTTTTTTAGGGGTCTCTCTCTCTCTCTCTCTCTCTTAAGAGAATTTACGGAAGTCTCTTATTTTGAACAAGTATTATTTTTAAAAAGGGATAGTTTTAAATGCTATTAAAACATAGTCTCCTCTTTTGTTCTGTTCCATAAATGCAATCGAGAAAGATATTCGATCTACATGAGGATATAGTTAAAACCATCATTGGGATTGTGTGAGACTCTAGTGAACTAAATATTAATTTCTCTCCATTATTTTGGTAAATATAATATCTGTACGAATTGGTAAATGGATAGAAAGCAAAAGTAAGAAAATAAATGCTTTCATTCCTAATAAAGGATACATAAATATGGAGTATTATTAGCCTCATTATTTAAAAATGCATTGAGTTAAGTTTGTGTTTCATAAAATTTAAAATTTAGTTCTGAAAAGATTTAGTATTGAATTGGTAGTACTAAAAGACTTTTAACATCTGATGTTTTAGCCCTAAAATTTATGGGTGAATTTGTCAATAAGAAAGAAGATTTTTAAAGCACTTTCCACTGAGTGTGGTTTCATTTCTCTGAATTTAAAATCCAGATTCCCTCCTAAGTAAATTTGTTTTTTTTAAGTGATAACAATATATTCTCACAAGCACTTGCTAGGTGATCACTGAAACTTTTTGGTTTTAGGTACTTGAAGGATTTTTTTTTTTTTGATAAGTTTTAGGCACTTGAAGGAATTATCAAGCAACATCTTGTCTTGATATTGTGTTATTGAAGCAAAATCATGTAATTCACTGGGTGTAATCTCATGTATTGCAAGATCAAAATCCAATAATTTCTCATATTTCTCTTTCTGTATCTAGAAATCACATAATCATTGCTTGAAAAGGATGATAATGATGCAGTACCACACCGTCTTTTGCCAAGTTCCATCTGATCTAGTTATGCTTGTTTGATTTAATTATTGTAATCCACAAATGCCTTTCTCCAATCAATCGGTATTAGAAATGATGAAATTTCCAAATTTGTTTGATGAGAAATGGAAAACAAAATAGGATAGTTATAAGAAATAAAGATAACCCTTGGGAATGAAATTCTGCTTCCTCCCTCCATCCGTAGAAAAGTGAGAAATGTAATTTAACTGTACGTCTGTTATTAGCGTGTTTTGACATCCTTTGTTTTTTTATTCAATATGGTATCGAATGCAGAACTTTTGTTTCTAAGTTAAAACTTTTATTTTCTTTCTTTTTATTTTTTTTATTTTTTCTGGGAAAAGAGGAGGGGGATTGGCTGATGGCTAATATTTTTATCCGCTGCATATGTCTGTTGATTCTCTTTTCACTTCTTACTTTCCCAAGGGAGAAGGTTCTTGTTTTATTTGAATAAGCAATGTTGGTCCCTTCTTTAGGAGTAAATTTACTCTTATATCTTGTTTGGCATGTCTTTTTGTCTGTGCTTTTGTTTTTACCTTCTGTTGTTTGCAATTGCTCTTTTGTAGTACTCTAGATTGTTCTTGTATCTTAATTTTATTGTTTTGACTGAGAGCTAAATCCCCAAATATGCAAAGTTTGCTGAACCAAATTATAATTAGATCTCCTATTAGCTGAAAACGCTTCATTTTTCTTTAATCTCTCTCTTTTTTGGATACAGTTGGGATAATCTCAATTTCCTTGCTTCCTTTTTCCGCAAGGACTTGTATAGTCCTAGCATTTAACCTTTAATGAGCTGTTGCTGTAGTTTCTTCAAAGTACATATATTGTTCTCTTAGTGTAATATCACTTTCTTCTTTTCTTTTCTTTTTTTTATTGAATTTGAATGACATCTGCTGATGGCCTTGTTCATGCAGATTCTAAGTGAAAAAGAGAGACTTAAAGTATTCAGAATTAATAAAGGGAAAGAGAAAGGGATCATAAAGTTGAAGATTGCTTGCTTACCTTTTCTTCAAAGTCTCTCCAGAAGTTTCATACTAAATTCACCTTCATCAACTATAACCTAAATTGCATGGGCTTTCCTATCATCTGCTATTTGGCTTGTAGATTGTTCTAGCTCCTAATCGAACCAACTAGTTAAACATGGTGTGTTGAATGATCACAATCACAAAAGAACATCAATTTTCTCTCTTAATTTAAATTGTAAGTTTGATATGTTGATGTTGCAAACTATCCAGTTAAATAAAGAATTTAAAGCTTATAGTTGGCCAAAGAAAGAATCATCTTCAAAGAAGGGAAGCCATTCAAAGTTTTTAGCGGTTGAGGTATGATGAAAATGTCCATGAAAAGATAGTATGAGGTTTTAAAAAGTTGGGCGAGAAGAGCTATGAAGTTATCAGATGCTGATCAACCCAGTACGCCATTATAAAGCCTTAAAAAGTGTTTGGATCAAAGTTTCATATTTTTGTGCAGAAACTCTGAAAGGCAGGTAAATGTCATATTCCAATCACTTGGGTTTTCTAGTCAGGGTGTAAGTGAAAATTCTCTTACTCTCTCGACAAAATACAGAATATATTTTCATGAGTAAGTTTGTGCTGAAATTGTTGTTTTTGAGGACTTAGTATATAATTCTGATTTGGAAAAAAGATTATATCTTGTGAGAAACTAGAGATACTTTTAATTAGTCTGTTGTATTTTCAGTTAATATTCATCTATTGGTGTTCTATTTCTGATTTCGTGATTTTGACATTTAAAATTATTCTTAGTTTTTTTTTTTTGTCCTATTCACTGGAACAGGGGCTCCAGGGCAAGGGATGATTATTATTCTCCTCGCCGATCTAGATCCAATTCGCGGTCAGTTTCTCCACGCAATGAGAGAAATAACAAGGCAAACCGAGGGTCCTCAAGGCGGTCTAGATCCGTTTCACAGTCTCTTTCTCCACGCGATGAGATAAATTACAGGTCAAACCGCAGGTATCCAAGTCCGGGACAGAATGCTCGGAGTCCTCATGGTGAGAGGGATCATCAACCCAGCAGGTCACACAGTCCAAGAGGAAGCACCCGGAATCACTCTCGATCCTATAGGTACTTGTGTTTTCACATCTCAATCTATGACAGGATGATAACAAATTTGACATTTTCCTATCCTTAAATTAGCCTTTCTCCACTGAGCATGGGGCCTAGATTCTCTTATTTGGGAACTAATAATTGACATCATGTAGCAAATTGGGATGCATAATCTTTATTTGAGAAGCCCTGATGCATGTACTTATGAAAGGCTTTTTAGGCCTATTCCTGAGATGAGGATTAAGCAAAACACATACAGGCAAAGGACCAAAAAGTTAATAATTAACTGAAGACTCATGCTTCATGGTAGTCATGAGACTTGTTTTATCTCAGAATTTGAAGGGTTTAAGCAACTGATTGCACCAACAATAAGTTTGAATGCTTTTAGATATTTCTTTTATTTTATGACATTTGAAATTATTCTTGCTAGACGACGTCTTGTGAATTTATTTTGTTATTATTTTTCACTACTCTTCAGTCTTCATGTATATAATTAAATACTTTGTGTTTTGAGACTTATTGTGGCAGGACCAGTTCCACACTTAAAAGGACTAAAGTCATTTGTGGGGTTTCTTTGTCCCACTTAAGAAGTCCATGACCATCTAGTTCACACCTGATGTGGAACTCGAAACACATATACGTGTTGTGACAGACCACCCCCCCCCCCCCCCCCCGGCTGGGCTCTTGTGTACTTGCGATGGGGACCCACATTTCTCTGTGGTACCTACGTAACAGTTCTCTCAAGGCACATTGTAGTACCGTAGCGGCTATGGTACCTGTCACAGGGCTGGTTTCGCATCCAAAGGACTAGTCATTTGTGCGGTTTCCCATACCCAATTAACAAGTCCATTGTCCGAGTACACACTCCCAATGGATTCAAGACACACTATGCTTGCTTTGAGGAGGATATCCCTTTTTACATTCCAACACCGGCTGTACCTTTGTACCTTTCCCTAGTACACTCGTTTAGACTGGGAAAAATGTAAAGTACAAGAAGTCTCGAGGTTCCATCAGGGTGGTGGCATCATGAGATTCACCATCCTAGTATAGCAGCTCAATGCCCTCTATGTGGAACCTGCTTTTGGTGTGCGCTTAACTGTTTCTGATTGGCTGAAAGAATTTCCTTGATCTAATTTATTCATCGTTCTTGCTGTGCAGTCCTCGCTGATGGTTCTTCACTAGTTATGTTGCTGCCCTGTGGCTCTGCCCTTGCGGTTCTTTTGTAAAGTGATCAGTTGCGCTCCAGCATTACTTGCACTATCTAATGATTGTAAGCTTGAAACAAGGACAGTTTAGTAGACTTAAGTTACTGTGACTGATGTGTCATTTAGTTTTGTTTGAGTTCGAATTTTAGTCACATGGGAGTATGTAATGTTATAAGAAGTTTGCATTGAAGCTTTTATTCAACGGTTCCTATGACTGGTTTTGTTATTAATCTCCCGTGCGGGTTTGTTAACATGATTTACTGGAGTTCACATTGGCTATTTTAAGTACCAGTTGAGTATGTCTATTTGTGCGTGACTCTCTATGATATATATCAAATATGGTTACGGGTGCAACTTGGGTGCATTGAGGATTCGACCCTAACTCAGCCCACCCGGGTTTAACCCGAGTTCGATTATGATGTTAGTGTCATTTATTTTTGTTAGTAGGCATAAAATGGTAAAGTAAGAAATGAAATTTATAGCTGATAAAAATATATTAGTTATATTAATAAGAATTAACATAACTAATATTAATTATATTGGTATATATTAAGAATGAAATATTGAAATATTTTATATAGACAGGTGGTTGAGAGAAATTATTTTTTAGTATGTAGTATTTCAATCCATGCATGTGATTGATGAGATTATTTTGCAATAAAAATGTGGAGATGGATATTTTGTGTACAAATGGTAATTTTTATTAGTTTTGAAACTTCTTGATCCACCACATAGTTTAAAAACTTGGTAGATTGATAAATAATAACAATTTACTAGATTTTGGAAAAAAATTCACCGAAACAAGGTTACGTCTCTATAGTTCATCCGGTAAATTTTGGAGTGTCCGTCTTCGATTCTCTGCATCCATTATTCTAACTTCTAACGCTTTAATTAAAATAGCAATTATATCAACATTATGTTAGATCAGACTTAATTCTAGCAATTAAGAACCATATAGCACATCATGAACATGGCAAACTATGAGTATAGTGTCCATTTTTGCAATTATACAGTGCCCTGGCATTTCAAACAATTCAAAACCATACAAAGTAAAATCAATATCTGAGCACGCAGATTGGCCAAGATTATTAAGAACTTTAGGGTTCAGGGTTTATTTTATTATATTTTTTATTTTTTTTTTGATAAGTAAGAATTTTATAAAAAAGCGCTCAAAGGAGAGCGAAACCCAAGGATACAAGAAGAAAAAACCAAAAAGGGCCTCAAGCCTTCAAGGAGGCCAAAAACATAACAATTTCCTCAACAGAATGATAATCTCTCCCTGAGACCCAACAAAAGAGGGTAGAAATAATAGAAAACTTAAGCATAGAAATGGGATTCTCCTTGCCATCGAAGTATCTTCGATTCCTCTTGAGCCAAATGCACCACCAAACACAGAGAGGGGTAGCCCTCTAAGCATCCCGGATGAGCGCCCCAACAGAGACACCTCTCCAAGCCTTGATCAACCCTCTAGAGGAACAAGCATAACCCAGGGAACCCCAAACAACCCAATCATCAAATCCCAACAATCTCTGGCCATACTGCAATGCAACAGAAGGTGATCCACTGTCTCCTCATCACAACGACACAAGTAACAGCGATTGATAACCACCCACATTCTCCTCTTCAAATTATCCTAGATTAAAATCCTACCCAAGACAGACGTCCAAGCAAAAAATGCCACCTTAAGGGGAGCCTTGGAACGCCAAATAGCCTTCCAAGGGAAAGTGCCACCCTCCCCATCAGAAAGGCACCTGAAAAAGGATCTCACCTCGAAACGACCCTGAGAGTGTGGACTCCAAAGCCAACAATCAGCCTCCTCATGAGAGATCACCTGACAATACAGTAACTCCAAAAAACGAGTGACCTCCTCAATTTCCCAATCCTGAAAATGCCTTCTAAACTGAACGTCCCAAGTTAGTCTTCCGTTATCAAGGTGATAACAATCAACCACCAAGGCCTGCCTATCAGAAGCAATCCTGTAAAGCCGAGGGAAAGAAAGAGCAAGGGGAAGATCCCCACACCAAAGGTCCTCCCAAAATCCGATCCTCCTACCATCCCTGATCCTAAAGCGAACATGATTACCAAAAACGTCCCATCCCTTTCGAATGCAAGTCCAAACCCCCACACCCCTAGGACCACGCCCCTCAAGAGAACATCACCCACCACTAATTTCCCCAAACTTGCTGGCAATAACTTTCCTCCAAAGCCAAAGTCTCTCAACCCCAAATCTCCAAAGCCATTTCCCAAGAAGAGCCCTATTGAAAGGCAACAACCTTCGAATCCCTAATCCTCCACTCCGAAGGGGACGACACACTTGCTCCCAATGAACCAGATGATATTTGAACTTCTCACCTCTCCTTCCCCAAAGAAAATTCCGCTGCAAACTCTTAATTCTCTCCGCCACCGAAGAAGGAATCTGAAAAAGGGAGATAAAATAGGTGAGAAGGCAAGAGAGAGTGCTTTTGATTAGAGTGACCCGCCCCCCTTTGGAAAGGTACTGTTTCTTCCAACCTGCCAGTCTCTTCTCAAATCTATCCACCACCGGATCCCAACTCCCCACACATCTCGAAGGAGCACCCAGAGGCAAACCTAAATAAGAAATAGGAAATGAGCCAGTACCACATCCGAGGATCTGAGCAAACATCTCAATATTAGGAACATCCCCGACCGGCACTAAAACACTCTTTCCAACATTCACTTTAAGCCCAGAGACGACTTGGAACCAAATCAAAACACATCTCAAACGTCTCAGCTGGGACGCATCAGCATCACAAAGAACCAAGGTATCATCAGCAAACATCAAGTGAGAAATCTTTAACTGACTAACGACATCTCTACCCACCCGAAAGCCTCTTAACAATCCCAGATCAACAGCCTTTTTCAACAACTTACTAAGAGCCTCCATCACAAAAAGAAAAAGGAAAGGAGAAAGCGGATCCCCCTGTCTCAAGCCCCTCGAACTAGAGAAAAACCCCGTCGGAGCTCCATTTACAAGGACAGAAAAACGCGCACTAGAGATACAAAACAGAATCCATCTCCTCCAACGCTCCCCGAAACCCATCCTCTCCATCAAGTAGATGAGGAAACTCCAACACACATGGTCGTAAGCCTTCTCAATGTCCAACTTACACAAAACACCCAGAACCCCACTACTCAGCCTGGAGTCCACAGATTCACTAGCAATAAGAACCGAATCCAAAATCTGACGGCCTCCCACAAAAGCATTTTGAGAATCAGAAATGACGCCGTCCAGAACCTTCCTCAGCCTAGTGGCTAAGACTTTGGCAAGAATCTTGTAAAAACAACCCACCAAACAAATAGGACGAAAATCCCTAACATCCAACGCTCCTCCCTTTTTCGGAACAAGGGCAATGAAGGTGGCATTCAAGCTCTTTTCAAAAGAGCCATGAGTATGGAAAGCATGAAAAGAGCCCATCACATCATCTCGGACCACTTCCCAACACTCCAAAAGAAAACGCAAAGAAAAGCTATCTGGACCTGGGGCTTTATCCCCATTACAGTTCTTCAAAGCAGACAAAACTTCCTCTTCAGAGAAAGGGACCTCCAAAAGAGAACAATCCTCATCCGAAATAGAGTCAAAATGAAGCCCAGCCAGTAAAGGTCTCCACTCAACCGGTTTAGAGAACAAAACTGAAAAGTAATCAGCAAAACTCTTACAAATCTCATCTTCCTTACAAAACATCTCCCCTTCCACCCGAATCCTCCCGATATGATTGCCTCGTTTGTGAGCATTAACAAGTCTATGAAAAAATTTCGTGTTGTTGTCACCTTCCTTGAGCCACAAAGCTCTAGACTTTTGCCTCTAAGAAATTTCCTCCATGACCGCAATCTCAGCAAACTCCGCCTGACACTCCACCCTCCTAAGCTTCAAAGAATCTAACAAAGATCCTTGACCCTCCAATCTATCAATGTTTGCAATCTCAGAAAAAATCCGATTCTTCCTCCACGCAAGATTACCGAAAATCTCTTTGTTCCAGACTTTGAGGTCACTTTTCAAAAACCGCAGCTTATCTGCAAAGGAATGACTAAGGGTGCCAGCAACAACATACCCCACCCACCAAGATCGGACACGATCCAAAAAACCTTCAACCCGAAGCCACATATTCTCAAACCTAAAGGGGGATCTTCTACTGCGCAACCCACCACAGTCCAACATCAAAGGAACATGGTCAGACAAAGGACGAGCTAAAGTGGTTTAGATAACATCCAAAAGTGCTCCTCCCAATCACTCGACACCAGGAATCTGTCAAGTCTAGAGAAGGTAGGGGGAGAACGACCACTCGACCAAGTGAAGGGCCCCCCCACCAAAGGCAGATCAATCAAACCAAAAACATCAATAAACTCCGAGAAAGCCTCCATCTCGACCGTCCACCTCCCACCTGACGATCTCTTAAACGGGGAACGAACAACATTGAAATCCCCACCAATACACCAAGGCAAAGACTATCTCCTATGAACCTCTCTCAGCTCCGCCCAAAGCAAATGACGCACACAATCCTCAGTAGGGCCATAAATACCAGACAAAATCCAACGAAAATCATCCTCCAACACAGAGAAAATGCAGGAAGCAGAGAAACGCCCAATCTAAGAATCCATCATAGAGACCCACCGATTATCCCACATCACAAGAACACCACCGGCAGAACCAATAGTATCCAGAGCAAACCACTCCACAAATCTACCTCCCCATAAACTACGCACCAACAAATCCTTCATCGTCTCAATCTTTGTTTCTTGCAAACATACAACATGCCCACCCCCTTTACGAATCACCGCCTTCACCACTTTTCTTCTAACCGGATCATTGAGACCCCATACATTCCAAGAAAGGATTTGTAGCTTCATAAGGAAACAACATGTTGGATAGACACATCCCTCCCTCCACCACCCTTTTCCTTGCACCCCTTGTTCCTTCTCTCATAAGTGACAAGAGCCGTTGGGCTTAACACTCCCCTCTCCTCAACCTCCAACTCCCCTGGCATGCTCTCCCTACTCTCCCTACCACCCATTCTATCCAAATTCTGAGAAGACAGAACCTCCAAAAACATATTCATCGCCTCCTCCATTCGTCCTTCAAAAGAAATTCCCAACAAAGAGCCAATTTCAATTCCTTTCTCCCTTACCCAATTGTCCTCCATAACAACCCTTCCTGAATCAGAACTAGCCCCATCCACAAAGACCTCATCCGGATGAACAACCGCTAAAGGAGCAAAGAAATCAAAATTCGTCTCATTGCCATTCCACTGACCTAACCCCAAATCCTCAAAAAAAGAGCATGACCCACCATCCCCGTCCTCAAAGACTGACGAGGGAGGAGAATGACCATCCAGTAGAGTCCCATTAACCTCAGCAGCCAAAAACCCACTCGTCCCACACTGAAAGCCCTTTAAAGCTAAATGAGTCTGCAACTCACTCAACAACACAGTCGCTGAAGCATCATCCAAACAAATTTTCATATCACGTCCCACACAAACTGTGACACTCTCATTCTTCTGAATCATAGACCGAGATGTACCCAATCCATCAACATGGCAAACCCCAACACCATTCTTTCGCTCGTTCTCCAAACTATCCTTTAAATAAGAGGAAAAACTCGACCCCCCTTGCGAAGGAGAAGAAGCAAAGGGAGAGAAGAAACAAGAAGGAGGTGCCTTAGAAACAACAGTGGACTTACCCAGATCCAAATCCGACTGCACAGACGTCACCCATTTCTGCTTATCCTTTCGTGTCCAATGTTTGCGAAAAGCAAGAAGACGGATTTTTTTCTTAGGAAGACGTATTCGCTGCACCCGATCCCTAGCACGATGATCCTCCTTGACTCTTCCAGAAAGTTGCGAGTCACTACCAACCGAAGCGGAAGTCAATGGCTCAAAACAATTCTTCAACTCAGGCCCATAGCAAGAAGACCCACCAACCTGCCCAGTAATCAACCTAGTTGACCCATCAAGCGAATGGACACCCGACCTACCAACCAACCCATCTTTAAAAGACTGGGTAACCGGACCACCATCCAACCTCAAATCACAAATGGGCTTGCCAATAATTGGATGCCTCTGAACAGGCCCACAAGAAGAAGTACAACCCTCGCTAATAACTAAGGCCCCAATCCCCAGCCCAACATCAGGCCCGTCATCGCGTATGGTCTTTGTATTCTTACCAGCCCACTTAGTGGGATTTGAAAAATTCGTGGAAACAACTGTATTCCACTGTGAACGGGCAACTCCTGGGAGCCAACCACATGGTTGGTCAGCAATTCTCCCCTTCCCACTCCCACGCTCTTGTTACGCGTGAACACCACCACGACGAGACCCTTTCTGTTCCCACCACTGCAAAAATGGCCGACGACTAATCCCGGTGGATTCTCCATTCCACTGCATCTTCTGGAAATCAACCTGCTGACGCCGTTTCAAACCAGACGAGAGCCCATCCCTACGTTTCTGAACAAAAAGCCTCCGGAAACATTCCTTATTACGAATCCACAACGTATCTCTCCAATTCTTCCATCTCTGGAACTCTGCCATTCCCTTTTTCCCCATAGATTCCCACCTCAACCATTCTTTTTCCTTAAGCAAATGTGAACCATCACCTACTTCCAAGCAATCCGTCGTCGGAACAAGCTCGAGGTGCTTCTCCTCCCACACTGCCACCTTATAACAGTACCGATCGTCATGAACGAACACGAAAGGTGGACAAACCTTTCCATCAGCGACTGTAATACGAACTCTTTCAGCATCAATGGCCTCATCGGCCTCCACCCAGATAAAGCCACCGCATAAGTCGCCTATTCTCACAAACAAAGCATGACTCCACAGGTGAAGTGGAAGGCCAAAAATCGTCACCTTCTTCAACCCCTTCTCTTTCAAGATCTTCGAACACCCGACCCTGAAATTCCAAGCATCCACATGAAGAGTTGCCTTCCCCCAGTCACGTCGACCTTCTTTAAGAACTCGAGATGCTTCGACTGCTGAGGGAAATCGAAACAAAAGAAGCGAGTCAGGCAACGGCAAGACCGACACACCAGTGGAGATCTTCCAAGCTCTTGAAGCCCACGCTGCAATCTGTGCTCCATCGCCTACTTCCTTATCAAAAAAGCCTACCAAACACGACCTAAGGTCCTCTTTTCTCCTATGAATCGAGTCATTATCCAAATAAACCGATGGTCCCCTATACGGATTTGCAGATCTCGCAACACCACCTTGAAACAGTCGAGGCAATCTTGCAACTTCCAAGAACGAGCGCATGACAAAGATGAAACGAACACTCACAAAACACTCCAGAAACAACAAATCACTCAAACAAAAGGAAAAAGAAGAAAAATAGTAGAGGATTTCACCGGAGTTAATGACTTCGGGGACTAGTCGGAGTAGAGGACTCCTACCGTATCCCTACCACGTCTCTCACAGGACTCCTTGAGACACTTTCTCGAGCAGAACTTAACATGATACTAGGATCGTGCTTCCAAGAAAGTTTCTTCTCTCACACAAAATCAACAAAATCTGTTGTCAATACATCTTGGGGTGGTAGTTGGGGTGGGGTGTATGGTAGAAAGTGGAAAAAGAAATACTGCAAAAATTATTGGGAGATCGAATAGCTGAATACAGGTATATATATTTTTTATTTTTATCCCGACAAATTAAGGGAGGAGGACTCGGACTCAAATATGGATTTCAAACACACCTGCTCAGAGAGCTCTCTACCAACTAAGCCACTTGACAATATGTATTAAACATAGACACTAATAAATTCCAAGGGTTATCAACCATATGTATTACACAGACCTAGAGAAAAATGTAATAGTCAAAAACTAAAGGGTTAGGACCATTAAAGGCACATTATGACTATTACATAATTGAAAAAAATTCTGTTAATAAGACTTAACTCTTCGTATTTTTTGGATGCATTTTTTATTTTTATTTTATTTAAATTTTAAAACAAATTATTTATAGGACTATAGAATTTTTACGAAGTAATGGTAAAAAAATAGGTATAAATCAATAACCTTTTTGCTGAGAAAAGATGATGGCATTCTTTAGAACGAACAACTAGTGTTGGTTCGAATGAGGTAACAAAGGTACTCGTGAACCTCGTAGCATAGGCAAGATAGGGCGTACTTGCACATACTCTCTTTCTTTGTGGGGAGCTGGTAAAAGTCATCAATCTCACTTTAGAATGGAATGGACGGTGGATATGTAATTTTAATGAGATGTTTATGAATAAAAAAATCATTAAGAAAAAGAGAAAATCATTAGGTATTTTTATTTTATTTTATTTAATTATTAAAATAAATTATTTATAAATATTTTTTATGTGAAAAAAATAAAAAATGTTAATATATATATATATATATATAGACATAGATATATATTTTTTTGAGATAAAAAAAAAATTGAAATACATAAGGCGAGATGTCGTCTTTTGGTTCTATAGGTAAAAATTTCGAACTCAGCTCCCCAATATCCTTTGTGAAGAGTCATATTTAGTCATTTTACTCTGCCCTTAAGCTCTTCACAGACGCGCCTCCATCTCTACAATCAATCTGCTTCGACACTCCGCAGGACGCAGCCTCCGCTATCGCCTCAGGCTTAGGCGACACCGTGAAAAGGTATGTTCATCCTCTCTCTCTCTCTTCTCTCTCCTTTTGCATGAATCGATCCTTTTTTTTTTTTTTTTTTCTCTCCTTAAGTCCACTCCAATCTCACAACAGCAGCAACCATACACCTTTTCCTCATAATTTTTTTGCATTTTCACATTCAATCCTACGAAAATTAAGGATCCCTTCTAGTGGGTTGAGGACCTAAGGTAATAATTAACTTTTTTGATCTCTAAATTATGCTCATACTTAAAAGTGACAAATTAAGGGTTTTTTATTTTTTATTTTTATATGAAGATACATACCACCATTATTGATGTTATTTGAAGTTAGGTCAGCTAGAATTTCAGTTAATAATACTGTCAAAGGCTCAAAGCACTTGCCATCAGACTGTACACACACATGGAAATCAAGAGCAGGCTTTAACAAAACAAAAGTTAATGGTTTTTTCTATTCATTTGCAAAGGTCTTCTGTAGCAATGATCAATCAATCACTGCTACTAAATTTGATTCCTCATCCTGAAATCAAGGAAGGGGTAATTGGCTCCCAAAAAAAACACACCAAAACACACACAAAGCTCCAGTGAAAACTCCAGCCAGGAGATCATTCGACCAAACTGCTTGACTTTAGATATTTTTTTATATTATATTTATTGTATGATTGGCAATGCTTAGTTATTATTGTTTTGGTTTGATTCTCCATCTGTTTTATGTTAATTGTGATCTTCTTTCACTGCTATCAGGACACTCTTCTTAGGATCTCGTGAGGTTATTTGCCTTTGACATTTACTTTGATATAAAGTTGAATTTTGATTTTTGTGACTAAGTTGTGTTGAATATTTCCTTTTAATTTTTTTTGATGGGTTTTCTTTTGTGTGTTTTTAGCAGTAATATATTTTATGTTCTTATCATCTCATATTAATGAAAATTCCGCACTCTTATAAATTTTTTGTGCCTTTGCACTCTTTAATTAATTAATTTTTTTGATAAGTAAAAATAGCATTAAAAAAGGCCTTCAAAAGGGGAACGCGTCCCAATTACAAAAGAGGAACCGGGGCTAAGGCCCCAAAGAATCCAAGAAAGTAATTAAATCATCAGAAGAAGAACAAAAGCTCCTCTTCACATAATTGAAAAGAGAACGAAGAATGTAAAGTTTGACCATAGCCGTAGGCGTCTCATTCCCTTCGAACATCCTATTATTTCTTTCCTTCCAAATACACCACCATACACAATGCGGCACAATTCTCCAGAAATCGCGAACGTCTCTTCTCACTTGACAGCCTCTCCAGACATGAATTAATTCCTTAGTAGAACGCAACACATGCCAAACAACCCAATAATGAGATTCCAACAGTCGTTCACCACAGGGCAATGCAAAAGGAGGTGATCAACGGAAAATAATGTTATATAATACACTCTTTAATTAATAGATTTATTGTTATTAGTTACCTGTTTTATGCACACTGCACAGGCGCACAATTAGTTACTGGTGGTGATAGATTTATAGTTATTAGTTAGTTGTCTTATGAAAACTGCAGAGGTGCACAATTATTTATTGGTAGGGATAAAAATTTATAGTTATTAGTTGTCTTAAGCACACTGCACAGGCGCACAATTATTTATTGGTGGTGATAGATTTATAGTTATTAGTTAGTTGTCTTATGCACATTGTATAGGCGCACAATTATTTGTTGGTGGTGATAAATTTATAGTTATTAGTTAGTTGTCTTATGCACAATGCATAGATGCACAATTATATTAGCTATAGAATTTGAAAACATCGTGTGAAAATTTCGCACTCTTATAATTTTTTTCGCGCGTGAAACTTGAGGGCCTCACATTTGAAAGTTCGCCTAGGGCCTCTCAAAATATTTGGAATCTCAGGGCCAGCCCTATCTAGTTAGTGTTTATTATTCTTCATTTACCTGATTCTTCTTCTTTTATTTATTTATAATTAAGCGTAGATTTTTGGTCGCATTTTCTGATTGTGGATTTTATCTTCCTAATATTGATGTGATCAAAGCACTGTTAAAACCTCTTTCCAGGTTATTCTGGTAACAGAATTCACTTGGAGACTAATGTAAACCTTAATGCTTTGTATGGTTGCTGAGAGACAGGATTAAAAATTTCTGTAAATTATTCATTATACAAAAAAATAAAAAATAAAATACATTCATATAATATGGAAAATCCTTTTAAGGTTTAGCAGTGTGGCTTGAAGCATTAAAAATATCAAACATTTTCCTCAGATTAGTGGGTGAGCATTCATAATGATGAAGAACTAGTGTATAATATTTTAAAAGCAAATACCATGATGCACATGAAGCACCTCTGTGTGAAAAATCATTTTTACTGCTGATGTGTTTTGTCAAGTTAAAAATTAAAAAATGGTGAGGAGAAATTCCTCATTTTAATTTAACTAATGTCTGGGCCTGGATTGTCACTAGATACAAAATAGACTACCCCCTTGACCCTTGAGGTTTTGCTTTTGTAGTCTCAAAATAAACTTTTGGTCAAAATTGTAATCAACCTCCCTTGAGGCTTGGTAAAATATACAGCTAGACTCCTAGCCGTTAAATAACGGTAGTCTGTCAAAATCTTTTCGTTGAACACCGAGATGGCCTTTAGCTGCAAAATTACACAGTTATCTCTTCTTTCAAAAGACAGATTTATCACTATGTAATATGATATATATATATATTACATCCCATCACAGCTTCTAAGCTATCACTGTAACTTATCCCAACTGCTACCGACTCTCTCTCTCTCTACTAGTTTGTCGTATCTCTTGCTCCGCCTTCCCTCTAATCCGACATCACAATCTTCTCCAGACACCTACTGAAAACCTTTCTAAATAATGCAAGTGCCCTATTTTACTCTATTTTTTTATATCAAATTTCATGCTAAATCTTTCTGGGTTACCAAATTGTCCATTTGCGTCTCTTTGGTTTTATTTAGATTTGGGGTTTCGCAAATTCAAGCCTTCAGCAATGGGGTTTCATTGCTGCAGCTTGCATGTCAGTGGCCTATGAGAAAGACCAAACTCTGAAGTCGGCTTTTTTGTTGTGCAAGATGAAGGAAGGTCGATACTCATTTTGTCAACAGTGTTTCTGTGGATGACTTCTCTGTTGGCTTGATTTCGTCCTTGTTGGATCCGTTATTTGATTTCAGATCTTTCAATAGTCATTGGAGTTTTGTCACAGAGAGAGAGATTTTGAGAGAGAGAGAGAATGGGGATGCAGACTTGCAATGGGTGGCGGTGGAGGCGAACGTTTAGAGAGAGGCTATGGGGGATTTTTCACAGGCGAAGATGGCCGTGGCAGTGGTGAGAGAAGGAGAGAGATTGGGAGCAGTGGTGGTGGTGATAGGAGGTGGTGAGGTTTTAGTGAGAAGGAAATGAGAAATGGAGTTGAATTTTTTTTTCAAAAATGGACAAGAAGGGTGTAGGAAAGGAAATATTGAGACTAACAGAGGACAAATTTGTAATTTGATTCTTATTTATTAATCACTGGTATTCTTATATGATCATATTGATGGTAAAAATGGTAAAAAGGCATTACCGGTTTTTTGAAGTTAGGATTTTTATTAAAACTCTGAAAGGGGTATCAGAGTGATTTATGCGAAAGTTTAATTTAATGGTGCAAAAGCCAAACCTCTGGGGAGGTCATAGTAATTTACCCTAAAAAACAATAATAAAACTAGAATATCAGAATCAATTCTTTGTAAAATGAATTCAATTAGCGCCTGCATTATTTTGACCTCGAACTTTGTTGCTATTCTGAATTTTAGCTTGAAACCACTAAGGTTCTAATCAAGTAAACTTAATGCTATTTAGTGACTAAAATCCTCGCTGACGTATTTCCAAATAAAAGCCTAAATAGTTATATTAAGGCAAGGAAGAAGTAAGTCACAATAGCTATTAGCATAGTAGATGAGTGATGTCTCATAAATTCTGCAGGTACACAACATACATTAAGCCTGGCTTTGAAGCTTACATCTAAGGTAAATATAAATCATGTCTACCTTTAAACCAGTGTCATACTCAGCACCTCACTGGAACCAACAATCACAACACAAGTAGAACACACGAAGTTGAATGAAACATTAACAATTCAATATTCCAAAAACTCTCAAACCAACTCAAAGGAAAAAGAAAAAAATCACACAAGAAAAATGTGAAAAAAGCTCAGCTTTCAATCAACTAAGTAATTCACCATCCTATCATGATACTTTGATAACATGTGATATAAAGTGAACTGAAAATAAGAACAATACCCTAATTAATGTAGGCACCATCTGGGTAGCATTTTCAATTTACATATTTTGCTTTTGAGAGCAAAATTTACTTCATGTTTCTCTCTAAAGTAAAATACCTCCAAATTGGAAAACAAACAGTACAAAGAAAATGTCATGACGTTTCGTAATTCATCTTTTGAGTACCAAGTGAACAAGTAAAAATGTAGTGTCGATGATATACTAGGAAGCATGGACACGCCTAAAAGGGCAAAGAATCTGTGTCGGACACTGACACACACCAAAATACATGTCCGAATATTTTATATTTTTTCGAATATCCGGACACGCCGTGGACACGCTTCCAACACGCCATGGATACGTGTCCGACACGCGTGCCCCACTCTTTGGGGATTTTTAAGAAAGTTTTAGAAATAATGTTGAGTTGAAGTGTAAATATTAGGAGTTGTTTAATTACACAATTACATAAAAACTTGTTGTTTCATGAAACAATTTTATATTCAAACAATTAGATATTTATTCTTATATTTTAATTCAAAGGTTTGAACTCTTGCACGATCATATTTGACTCTCTTGTTGTCCCACCAACCAAGCTTCGGTTCTGGTGAATGGTCTTTCCATCTCTCTCCTCTTTTCTCTCTTATTCTTTGTCCTCCTCTTTTCTTTCTTCTTCTTGTTCTTCACAAACCCTAAATACTTCTTTTTTTCCTTTCACAATAAATTTGTTTTCGTCTCTTTTTCCTTTTTCCTCTATTCCCCATGAACTTTTTTCTCTTCTATGGATTCTTACATTTATTTTTAACTAAGGCCTAATTGTTTTTCTAACAAAACCCTAATCCTCTTTTTTTTTCCCCCTCTCTTTCTTAACCCTCTTTCTATCATTCTTTCTTTTTTCCAGCAAAACACAAATTTGTTTTTATTTTTTCTTTATGAGATTGTAAAATTTAATATTACTCTTAATTTCTTAAAGTACAACATCATATATATAGAAAATATGTTTCTTGTTTGCCGTGTCCCTACCGTGTCCATGTCCTAATATTTTAGGATTTGCCGTGTTACTGTATCCGTGTTGTATTGTATCCGTGTCCCGTATCCGTTTCCGTGCTTTTTAGATGATATACTTCGAGAACAAAACCTACCTACTTCTAAATGATATTGGGAAGTCATAGGGGAATCCTTTTGAAAATATGGTCATTTTGCATCTCAGCATCATTCTTTCTGGTATATGGTTTCTATTAGGGACTAAAAGAAGGGTTTAGTAGTAACTAGTCAAAACAGGCTCATGAGAGATGCTCCCATTGGAACCACTAATTTGTACTATGCAGAGCAGCACTAGAATATCATGAACATTAAGCTTTTAGCTGTTCATTGATATATGGTGTGGATACTGACATCACAAAAAAATGGTCTATCATGATTCATGACCAAAGGGTTGATGGTAAGTTATTATAGCTTGGGAAGTAATTTATATAAGGTACGTCTTTACATAATGGTTTGCATACTACAGATAAGAGCCACCATTCACAGCATATGAGAATGCAAAAAACATGATTCTTAGAAATTCTATCCCAAGTGGCACAAGCTCAGATGTAGGCATGGGACATTTAAACAATATGACATGGACATGGGACATGAAAACAATAAGACATGGACATGTCAACACATCAAATCCTGATAAGGTAGGAGACATGCTGTATACATGGCCATATAAAAATTTTAATTTTTTATTTACATGAAAGTGCATTATACAGTACATGTCCCACATATACGGGGTGTTGGGAGCAAAAGACTGGAAATAGGCCTAATCTTCGACATAATTTTACAATTATATTCTTGCACTATGTTAAAAAGTATCAATTTCTTGACTTGTGAAGACCATGTGTATGATGAAAGACTTATGTAAAGAAGTAAGTGCATGTCGATAGCCATTGTTGGACAGAGAAAGAATGGAGGACAATTGACTATGATCTCATATTGCCCTATTTCGGTTACTAACAAGTGAAAGCCAATTTCCTTAAAGAAAGAAAAAGTAGATATTTGGGATGTGTACCTCTTATTTTCAATATTGTAGAACATGACTTCGTCTAAGATTTTTCTTACTATATAATATTTGTGTTTGGGAGTGTCTAGAATATTTTGGCCAAGAGTATTCATGAAGTGCTGGTATCCAACAACGGTCAGACATGAACATGACACATTTGTAGAAATGTCTATCCTTTTTAGTCCCAACAGAGATACTATCTCTCTTGAAACAGAATTACTTCTATTGTTCATCATGGATTGGCTTCTTTGCCAGTTACTGAGTTATATCAGTCAAATAAATAGATCCAAATGGAAAGGAATTTTCCATAATTTCTTTGTTAATATGCTGTGTACTGGATGCGTTAGAAAATGCTGCTTGACGCTGTAGTGTGTAAAGATGTTGAATTGTATCACTATTTCTTTCGATGAGTCTACTGATCTAGTATAGATTCTAAAGGGTTTGCCCTGTTGTCGTCTGTCTCCATAGATCCTAGGTCTGTAGTGTTTTTGATTTTTTTGCTGAAGTGCTGCCTTTTTCAACATTCAAGTTTTTAAGCGTGTTAATAAAATTTACTTACTAAAAAAACAAAAATATTGCAATCCCATTAACATAATGGACAAGTAGATAAATAACAATCAGGTGAACAACCCCTCAGTATAAGAATCATTGCAATCCTATTATAAAGAAAATAAAACATCAACACAAACTGACTCTACCATTGTCAAATTTAAATGTTGTTAAGCCTGAAAATTTCATCATTTTTGCGCAAAACTTGCACGATGTTCAACTTCGATCACTAATTTCAATCCAATTACTTAATCATAAGAAATTCAGGACCCTCTTCAATTCAAAAGGCATTTCATAGAAAACCAATAGATTTCGAAAACATTTGAGATGAATAATTCCTCACCATTATCCATCTTGAATAAAAGAAAAGCAAGTGACAACAATTTAATGAGTACATCATATGAATAGACATATATAGACACATATACATGTATATGTTTGTATATAATATATACTTGCAGGCCAAGGACGCAGCGAGTGACTTGGTGACCTTTGTCGAGACATTTCTCAGGGTTCGAATCATCCTTCTTGCATTTGAGGAACGCAACGTTTTTGCTCTTGCATTTCGTCACAACATGCTTTGACGATGCCATAAAAACCGCCGCTGTTGGAATCGGATCTCCCACCACATCCATAGTTATCACCATCTCCCAATTCTGACCAATTCAATATCCTCTGATTAATCAAAACAATAATTAAAAAAAGAGACAAATTTTCAGTGAGCAATTTAAGCCATATTTGTTTACTGATTGAATAGAATACTTCAAATTGGAGAAATACAAGTTTTCTGATTTATTTTCCCACATTTCTCAGCAACCAAACAACAAATAATTGAAGCCGTTTGTTTACTGATTGAATATAAGAAAGAAATGAAGATTTAGAACCTTTAAAATTGGAGGAATACAAGTTTTCTAATTTATCTTCCCACAATTTCTCAGCAACCAAATAGAAAAAAACCAGTAGTTTGATCATCTTACCTTTTCGTCTCAGCTTTGCTTCGAGTTTTTCTCCCAACTGAAGCGTAAGAGGGCTCTCAAGAGCAGAGGGATGTGATGTGAGGGACGGTCACTGCTGACATGCACCGTGCAAACAAAGTACACTTTTGGAAATAACTTTAATTCTTTAGGGTAATTATGTCTTTTCAAATATTAACAAAACCAACACTATTTAAGTCTCTCGATAAACCCCGGTGACCCTGAAGATTTGAACAGTAAATCTCAAATTATCACTCGTTTCATATAATTTTCTTTCAGTTCTGTACATATCTGTTTGTGTACACACACACACACACACACACACACACACTCTTCAGTCACCAATTTATGTAAACTGAATCTTCAAGTTTTTTTTATGCTTAGATAAATCATAGATGGTAATGATTACATAGTCAAGTGTAGTGTTATGTGTGTTTGTACATAAATATATATATCTTATTTGTTAGGTATTCTGAATAATACAACAAATTGGGGATTTGAAATGGCTAAAACAATTGTCTTTAGGAAACAAAATTTGTGCACAAACATGGATTAATTCAGGTTGAGGAAAAAAAAAAATCATGGATTAATTTGTTTATTATTGTAGTTTCTTTTTCTTTTTTGAATTTTTTTTTGGGCTAAGAATACTTGGTTTTGCAAATTTGACCGGGTTTTTTATGGTTCAGTAAAAGAATGGGTAATCAAAAGAAGAATTTCATAAAGCTTGTTTCTGCTGCTGGGACTGGATTCTTCTATGTGAAGAGGAAGAATCCGGCTAGGATCCCGACAAAGCTTGAGTTCCGGAAATATGATCCTCGGGTGAATCGCCACGTTCTGTTTACTGAGGCAAAGATGAAGTGAGTAGGAAGGCTTCTGTAATGGTAGATCATTGCCCTTGTCTACTGTTATTGTTCACTCTTTTGGAATTTTGATCAATATGGTATTTCTATTTCCTCTAGACTAGTTTTGGCTAGTTGATGTAGAACTTGGATGCTGTTTGTTTTTAGTGTTATGATTATAACCTTTTTGATGTAAGTGCCAATCTTCATCTCTTGACAGTCTTGTTACCCTTTTGCATAATGTTTCCTAAGACATGGTTCACATGTTGAAATGGGATCTTCATGGGTTTGAATGCAGCACCATATATTATATATATATATATATATTCTCTCAATATCAGTTGGGGACAGAAATAATTTATTTCACAATGCTAAATTGACTTCATTTTAGGTCATACAGACATGTTTGACACATCATTGTAATTATGTGGTATATCTTTAACTCCCAGAAGCAGATTGTTTTCCCTCCTCTCCCAGAAGCAGATTGAATCTTCAGCTTCTTCATTTTCTAAAGATTGGATGAATGTTACTTCTGTCTCCAAACCCTGTTACCCAATTTATATTATTATTATTATTATTATTATTTTATTTTATTTTATTTTTTTCAAATTCTGTGCCTTGGGATTGGTTCAAGTGGAGAATAAAACCAACACCTAGGGAACTTGCAAATCTCTAAGGCATGTCCTAATTCACTTTAGCTACAACTGCCATTCCCTTTATTATTCTTCCAACAAAATACCTTTAGTAATGAAGGAGCGTATTATAGTTTATCTACCAATTTTTTTGGGTCAGGTAAACAACTCACTCTTTTTGCCTGTAGAGAGACACTTAAACCCTTAATCTCCTCTTCTGGAGGAGATACCTCAACTCTTAGATGTGTAGGTGGATTAGTCCTACCTTCTACACCAAGAAAGGAGGATGTCCTTACCTTGATTTTCTTAAGTCATATTATCCTGGATCTGAGGGTGAGCCTTGGCACAGCGGTAAGGTTGTTCCATTGTAACTTGGAGGTCAAGGGTTCAAATCACGGAAACAGTTTCTCCACATGCGGGGTTAAGGGCCTAAGGCTACGTACATTTGACTCCCCAGAATCCGCAATGGCGGGAGTCTCGTGCACTGGGCTATCCCTTTTATACTATCCTGGATCCTATCTTTGAATGGAATGAGGCTATGTGGGAAAAAGTTGAATGATCATATTAGGGTCAGTAACCCGTGAAACCTGATCCTAAGAGGTGTAACTGATGGTAAGAGGGTTGAATCAAAAGAAATACAGAGAATGACCATATCAATTTAATCTCAGGTTTGTGTTCAAATCTTGCAAATGTTGTACCTTTGAGCCTTTTTTTTTTTTTTTTTGCCCTAGAAAGTAACTACATTAAAAGAAGTGGTCTCACCGGTCCTTTAAACAGAGATCCAACAAACAGAATATGGATCTAGCAGACATGTTATTGCTGAGGATACCAAATAAGGCTCTCACTTCGCTGCGTAAAAGGGTGATAGCGGTGAGTTCTATCTGAAAATGCTGTCAATGATGTTTCTCCTTCAATTCTATTAATCCTATCTAGTCCAACAAACTTACTGAGATTGTATAGTTCTCTTAGGGTGGCTTAGAACTTGCTTTATTGAACATTCTGAAGCGAATTTTCGTCTCATTCTTACCAGAAACCAATTGATATACTGCAAGCTTGTCCTGCATTCAATGTTTATTCCTGGATAATCCATTACGCATTCTGTATCCTTAAATGGTATAATTCTGTCATTTCATTTTACTGAATTCATTATTAGCTAGATTAGTCAACCTTTATATATTTCGATGCAAGCAAGTTTTCACTTGCAAAGTAGTACTATTGCTGCATGTATCACTGGCAAAGGTGCCATCCTCATCCAGCAAATTTCATTGTGCTTTGCTGATCATATACCATAACTTGTATACTGCTGAGTTTTCTTATGAGGTATCTGCATCTATGTGTCCGACACTTTTGGATGGACATGTATTTAAAATGCATATTCAATCATTCAATTATATTATATTATTACTTTAATATGAGTTAAATGCTTAATATTGAACACTATATTAGATAATAACATAACTTTACTCTAGAAAATGAAATAAAATAATTAAATAAAATGAATATTTAGCAGTGTCCATGTGTCCTTCTGTTTAGAGATCTGACAAGTCCCATACTTGTGTCCAGGTAACATAGATTTGCATTTCAATGGTGATAATCTCAAAGCCGATGATTTTTGTGCTTAGACTAGATGATGCTTTTGAATAATGATTCTACTATTTAATCCTGTGGATTTGAATGAACTGATAGACAGGATAAACACAGTTACGAGGCACATTCTTGTTATTTTTTTGATTGTTAAGTAGGTTAAAACAAACACAAGAAAAAGTACATTGAGCCACCCCATAGTAGGCATTGGGGCATGAGAGTTTTAAACTGTGATAGCTATTACAGGTCAATCATCTCTTGACCCCCGGTCAGTATCCGAGTACAAACTAAAGTAACTTTCACATCCCAGGAGGTCAAGTAAACTGTTGACACAATGAACAGAAGCAGAAAACAAGAAAGGATCTCTAACACTAAAAAGTTAGGTCTATCGAAGATTGAACTAGAGGTTGATATTTATCCACTCAGGCATTGAGTCCACCCATTTGTTTAATTGAAGAATGAATGATGAATGCAGACAGATCTGATCAACACCAAATGGTTCCACAGATGATCAATTTATGAGTTCACAACATGGCATTTTTGCCTAATCTCTCCAGCATTACCTGTTAGTACTTCTATGGCTCCCATCTTCGTCATTGACCTACTAAACTCTCTGAAGAAAGCGCGGGGTGTCTCGAACAGTTTCACTATCCTCACTGAGTCTCTATCTGTCAGGAGCGCCGCGTCAGATTGGAATAGCCCCATGTTCTGGTTTAAGATGCTAAAGTAACTACTATCGAATGAGAGCGAGCTCTTAGGGTCCATCTCTACAGTTGTCGCGGTGTTAGCCGGATTTGGACACTGCTTTCTCAAGGACTCAGCATATGCTGCATTTAGAGAAGGATCTGTATCACCTTTTCCAGTGAAGTTGTAAAGCCTACTTGAGAAAGTTCCACAGTGAGCAACACCAATGGTATGTGCACCTGCATAAACACAATTATCTTTTTGAGTTGCTGATATTTGTTGCCTGTGTGTGACATATATATACATATATATGATCTATGACTTCAACACTAGTACTTGGACATATCATAAATACCACATTTATATGTGTGTGCTCGCATTGCAAGGCTAATGATGTGTGCATCTGATACCACATTTATATAAAGGTGATTATATATGTTGTGTGTGTGTATATTTTGTTTTTTTGATAATAATGTGTGCGTGTGTATTGTAAGGCTAATGATGTGTGCTTCTGTTTTAAACAAAATTTCTTTCGAGGTGATGATAATTTGTTGTCTGCATATGCACATATACATACAGATATTTCATGTGTATAGATTACCTAGATGGACATATCGTATATATGTATCACATCCAAATCTATAGATATATAACATTTTACCTGATAATGTAACAAGATCAATAAGATTGAGACCTTTGTTTTCAAATATTTGCTTAAGTGAGGCGAAGTTTGCGAAGGGTGATGGGATGTTTCCATTGACATCTGATGCAAGAGAAATCTTGTCATCTCTTCTTCCAGTCAGGACTTCCCACATGGGCTGCTTAAACTATAAGAACAGAAATTTGATACATCAATTCTAAAGGCTTATATGAGACACACACACACACATTTCACTGTGCTTAGTTGAAATTGCTTTCAAATGCGCACACACACACACACACACACACACACACACACACAAACACACATTTCACTGTGCTTACTTGAAATTGCTTTCAAATGCACAAACATCTGAGTTATATTGCATAGAAACTTATGCTTAGTTGAAATTGCTTTCAAATGCACAAACATCTGTGTTATATTGCATAGAAACTTACTGGGAAGGAAACAGAATTGCGAGTGGACAGGGCTAGAATGTCAGCACAGGAAACAATGCCAGGGCAGGCTTGCTCAATTTGTGACTTGATATCATCAAGTACATCAAAACCTGACAGGGTGAGATTAGGTATTGTATCTCTCTCAGACTGGGTAGTCCCAACTTTGTCTAACAGTATAGATGCATCACATCCCTGCCACAATCACACAACATGAATGTGATAATGAATCTGAATGTGTGTGTGTGTGCAAGTAATGGATGACACATGCTTGAGTCAGTCATGGGAACAAAATTTAGTTATATAATGTGGACATACCCTAACAAAGCAATCATGAAAGTGCATTCTAAGCAGTTTAGCACCCAAAGTAGGGTCATTTTGAACTTTGCTCCATGTGATGTCCCTCACAAGCTTCTCAGCTTGTGGGCATCTATTCCAATAGAAGTTCTTCCGCAATCCATCTCCGTTTCCGTTTCCATTTCCCCCGTCTCCATTTTTCCCATCTCCGTTCCCCCCTTCTCCGTTTTCATGGCAAGGCCTGCTGTTGTCGTCGCAATTATTGTTACTAGAGTTCTTCCTCTCCATCCCATCTGCCTCACAAACCCTGCCTATTACCCCAAGCAAAACAAGAGACACCAAGAGAATGAGAATGCTCTCTCTTGCCCTCATTTTTGTTTAAAGAAAGAATGAACAATACCAAAGCTATACTGTTATAGTGGTGTAGTGAAACTGAGACAATGCTCAAATCTTTATCTGTTTGTTGAAAGCACAATCTAACCTCCACAGGATGATTTATATATATAGGCATCGCATACCACCAACTACCTTAATTCTTGGAGCTTCAGCATATATAAAAACTGTGTAGACTTTTAGAGTCTGCTTTACATGATTTGATGAGGGTTATAGAATGACAAGTGAAGTCAACCAAATAAAAATTGCTGCTTTCTATTATTGAACAATGTAGTTCATTGAATCATAAATGTTGAAAGTTTTTGGGTTGACCATTTTTGTCCCACAAAAATTTACACACATTTTGGTTGAATATGTATTCTTACTAGCATGGATAAGAACACTAAATTCTGTTAACTGGGCTTGGGTTAGGTAAATGTATGAATGGAACAAATATATCAGTTTTTGACATTATTTTACATAAAGTGAATACTCTGGGATTTAAACATAAATATTTTAACAAGGTGCTGATTAAATAAATAAAGACGTGGATTGACAAAATTGATGATAAAGTTTTTATTTTTATTATTTTAAAAAGAAACAAATAAATAAAAGAAAGAGAAAACTAGGGTAAGGGGTAAAAGAGTAATTAGCACATTATTAAGAATAATTATTTAGAGCTTTTAGTTTGTTGGACACTCCTAGTTATTGTTTTAAGTTCTTTTTCTGGGTAAGTAAAGCAAATTCTACAAAGGAACAAAAAACTATGTACAAACAAGGTTATAAGGAGGAATTCGTTCCAAGATATAGAAAATGAAAAGAAGCAAAAAAAAATAAAAATAAAAATAAAAATAAAAATAGAAATAATAATAAATTGTAGATAACGCCTGAGAGAACTTTACACGTTTTACACTAAGGCCTAGTTTGATGTGCTAAATAAAAAAAAAAAAAATCAAACAATATTCAAAAGAACAATGCTATACAGGCTGATTCAGCTTGTGCAACTCTCTCACAAACGTGTGGTGGGCTTCACCACTCTCTTGTAAGAGAGTAGATGTAACCGGATTTGACTTTTATATGATTTTTTATAGAAAATTTAGTCATACAAGGTGATTCAGTTTGATTCCCTACTAGGTAACCACATATGGAAAGGAGAGATGAACTTCTTCATATTTTTCAAACGTGCATTTTAATATTTTCTTCACATGAGAGGATTTTAATCTCTAGAATCATCGTCTTTATAGTATACAATATACATTTCAAGCTTTGAGAAACTTAAGTTAAGAAGCACCAAATTCTATAAGTGAATAATCATTGGAAAATCATATGATAATCATCCTCTATGTTTACTTTCTCTGCAGAAGACATAACTCATGAAATTAATCAATCAGACCATATCCCAAGACTAGTTATTGGCTAAAAGAATGTTTGAAAACAAAACATTTAAACCACAAGAAGCTATGCAAGAAACAGGGGACTCCCTAGGTTTGATCAAGGTTGTTAATACCAATCGCTCTCTTGTTTGTTGTCTCACTTATTTCAGCCTCATTGTAAAAAGTGAAAAAAAAGGGGGGAGAATTTCGTTTATATTATCCGCAATGTTCTTGGAGAAACTCAAACCCTACATTTGACTTTGAAAAAAAAAAAAAAAATTACAAGACTGAAGAGAAATAATGTCATTGAAAATTGGCAATAAGTTCTCTTCTAAAAAAATAAAAAAATAAATAAATAACCTTAAACTACCTAAAAAATGTGACATGGCACATTTGTTCAGTCTGAAACAAAAGATTGCCCCTGAGTACTAGTTTTTCAAATTGAACTACTTTGCACGTCCCTAACGCCTATTTGACTCTGTTTTTATTTTTATTTTATTTTATTTATTTTTCACTGAGAATATGAGGACGGCTTCATGTCCAGGGGACAGATCATCATAAACTGTAGACATTGTCAAATGAATTGCACCTTGAGAAGGTCAATGAATACAAAATAAACAAAACGACAAAAAGAAGGAAAGTCTAGTTCTAGTTTTGTGATTAATTGTTGAACACTACTCCGACATCCACCTATTTTGTTGACTCGCTCTGTTTTATTCGTGCAAGGATGCTTTTCCTCTTAATAATCTAAAATTAACCCATCCCCACAAAGGGCGTACATGTATTGCAAAAACTTGTGACCAAATAACGCCAGCTAAATGTTCTAATTAGTGGCGAAAATTATGGAGGTAAAGTAAACTAATTTGCATGTCTGAATACCGAGACAAATCAAATATATAATACATTCTCTAAATTTGGAGACGCGGGTTGTTGTGTGAGTAAGGGTGTGGGCCCGTTAAGTTTGTGGTTCGAATTTCTTGTGAATACAGTGTTTTGGAAGAGTTGGACCGGTCAAATATGGCTAAAGATTGTAGAATTAGGAAACAAAAGTCGATAGTTGGGAGCCCTATTTGGACCGGTCCAAGGATTATGGTTATGGACCGGTCCATCACATTTGATACATGTGCCTACATCAGTTTCCTATTCCAATTTGGGAAGTTGTGAACTTGTTGAGCAAGATTGATATGGTAAGTTTTTGTAGGCAAGTTGGAGAATTCTATCCAATAAGATATTGCATGGTTTGAAGACTCTATAAATAAATATGCGTGTTAGAGATTAGGGTAGAGAGGAAAATAAGTTGTGTTAGCCTCCGTTGTCCCTGCAGTGACTTACCCGATTCGAGTGGGCAGGTGTCCTTCCGGGTCCTTGGGGATTAGTCGGGTTGCTGAGGGGCCTTAAGGATTCGTGTCATCCCAGACACCCCGGGTCAACTAAAAAACAAAAAAAATAAAAAAAAATAAGTTGAGTTTGTGAGAAAAGAGAGAGTGTGTAACCAAAGTATTGAAGTGGAGATACTCGTTCTTCGCCTATGGACGTTTACCGTGGACGTTTACCGAACCACGTAAATCTCGTCCTTCTTGTGTGTGTTATTTTATTTGTTCTATTTGCCAATAGTACGTGTGCAATCCTAACAACTGGTATCATAGCTATTGCGATAACTATTACAGATAGAAAGCATGTGGTCGAAAAGTTTGATGAAAGGAGAAACTCCGGTCTTTGGTAGGTTCGGATGCAGGATTTACTAATTCAGTATGGTCTAGGAGAGACTTTCGGCATGAAAACGGAAAAGATGGAAGATGTAGAGTGGGGGAAGATCAACTCAAAGGCAATGCGTGCAATTTGATTGATGTTGACAGATGATGTGATAGAAGAAACTTAAGAAACATATATGTGGAAGAAGTTGGAGGATTTGTATATAGGAAAGAATCTCACCAACCAGTTAGTCTTGAAGCAAGAATCATATTCCTTCTGGGGAAAAGAAGGTGTAAGCTTGTAAGAATATCTCGGCGAGTTCAACAAGACTATTTGTGATTTATAAAATTTCGATGTCAAGTTAAGTGATGAGGATAAAACAATTATTTTTTTAACATCGGTACGCTCTACCCATAAGCATTTAGTCAATAATTTTCTTTATGGGAGAGACACCATCTCGGTAGAACAAGTTTAGAGTACCTTGTTCTCCAATGAAAAGTTGAATGATGAAGAGTCATGGTACTTAGGCTCAAGTTCTTATTGCTCAAAAAAAGAAGATATTTGGAGTTTCAAGAAACTTTGTGTCATTGTTAGAGAAAAAATCTTATAAGTGTGCGAGAAAAAGGCATATTCAGTAGTATTTTTCGCAAGGAAAGGAGAGTACATTCGCTGCTGTTGTTGTATCCGAGGCTACGAAAGAAGGGGGTGATAATGATGAAGCATTATCGATCATTGATAACAGGGGAGGAGATAAGGAGTGGATATTTGATTATGCTTTTTCCCTTTATATGTATCCTAATAAAGAGTGGTTTTCTACTTACAAACATGTATGTGGTAAGGTATTTATGGGGAATAATGATTCTTGTGATATTATTGGAATCAGAACAATCAAAATCAAGACAACGAATGGTTTGGTAAGAACACTTAACGAATATACATCATATTCCAAGTATTATAAGGAATATAATCTCTTTGGGAGTCTTGGGTTCCAAGGGTTGTTGGTGTGAAGTGAAGAATGCATTGATTAAGATTAGAAGAAGGCTGCGTGTTATATTTTTGGTAAGGAAGGTCAATAACCTCGATATTTTGTTGGGAAATACTATGCTATGAGAAGGAATTACAAAGAAAGAATGAAAGCCTATTTCGAGAACTATTAGAATGGACGATCAACAGTGGCAAGAGAAGGAAGAAGTTTTGGTAATTGCAAGAGCCTCCTAGAAGTAAGAAGAGTTCGATTTGGTGATGCGAGAGTAGATTCCAGGTTAAATTATTTGAACTTGGAATTTGCTAGGAATAGACAAGTGTGGTGGAATAACGAAGAATGACAAGAAAAAAGAAAATGTTAGGTTTAAGGTGGGGTTTTTGGTCAAGGTGAAGCTATAAAGAAGCGCGTGAAGATCGAATTCGAGCCAAGGTGGAGATTTTTAGCTAGGTTTGTGGCTCGAATTTTGTGTGAATATGGTGTTATGGAAGAGTTAGACTGATCCAACTTATGTGGACCTGTACAATACGGTTGTAGATTGCAAAATCTAGAAACTAAAGTCGATATGTTGGGAAATACCCTATTTGGACCAGTCCAAGGATTATGGACCGATCCATTACGTCTAATATATGTGCATACATGAGTTTTCTATTTCAGTTTGGGAAGTTGTGTAGCAAGATTGATATGGTAACTCCTTGTAGACAAGTTAGGGAATTCTTATCCAGTAAGGAATGAGTTTGAAGACTATATGAATAAAGATGGGTGTGAGAGATTAGGGTAGAGAGAGAGGGAGAGAGAGAATTGTAGAGACAAAAGTGAGTTGAGTTTGTGAGAAGAGAAAGAGTGGTCGTTCTTCGCTCGTGGACGTAGGCAATGTGCTGAACAACATAAATCTATTCTTACTTGTGTGTGTGCTTTTATTTGTTATATTTTCCAATAATATGTGTGTGTGA